TTACCACTTCCTGTTTCACTTTGAGCCAAGTTCAAAAGAAAAGATACCAGTTATGATGCTAAACAGGTAAAAATTATGTGTTTTAAGTTAAGTTTCTTAAATATAAAAGATGTTTTCTTTGCCTTTTTTGTTGGGGTGGGAATCTTTTACTCTCTTGTGATTCGATTAGATTCTGATTTTTGGAGCCACGATTCGATTCAAAATCGATTTTTCGTTCAAAACTGACAATGTGAGCCCATTTGTCATGTTCCCAGTGCTTCGTCTTCATTTTGCAAACCTCGCTTATGTGAAACTCAGACTCATTCAGTCAAAAATAAATGAGCCGAAATCTTTGCCTTCAGTGAAGACAGGGCCGGTTGAATCTCTTTCCTCCAGTTTTGTAGTTTCCTCTTTGTTTTGGTGCTTTCTGTGCATTCATATGTTCCAGAAGCAGCTGCGTGGTGACATCAGCACATCCCATGTAGTTACAGCCATTGGATTTACTTTATTATTATTATTATTTTAATAAAAATTATTTTGGGACATTTTAAATCGATTATGAATCTTGGTAAATGAGAACCACAGTTCTGATGTAAAACGATTTTTGTGTATTTGGAGGTGATGCGTGTCGCAGCTCTTTAAAGGTGAACCTGTGTGGCCCAGGCTGAGGGGAGAACTCGTACAGTCACTGAAAACATCTCTGCAGAGCTAAAACAACAGAATCTCAGCAGATAAAACGAAGCTTTTCCTTCTAAAAGCTTCTCGGTGTGCAGGAAAACACGTTACCCTGACATCTTTAAGCTTTTAAAAACAGGATGTTGGATATTAGTGGGGTTTGATTTCTTCCTCTGCACCCTTCTTCAACGATTCCTTTTGTTTCCAGACTCAGCTGGAAGATTTCAACTTCTTTTAATCATTAATCACACATTGTGAGCTGTGCTGCAYGGTACAAAGCCTCCAGGGGCTCAGGGGTCCTGCAGACACACCGGGGCTCAGAGGACGCTCCCTCTGAACCACCGACACGTTACCCCTGTGGGGTTGGTCTGATAACGGCGGTCTCGTTGATAACGGGACCCCAGAAGTCGGACCCCTCTGAGCCACGCCATYGCTGTGAGCTGCCTCATTAATCTGCTGACTACCGGCCTATCACGAGCCCGTCACCAGCTCAGCGGCACCTAAGCAGCATCAAACCCACAGTTATCACTGCAGCCTAACAAGCAAACAACAGAATAATCACTGCCTGCCGTCTCCAGGAGCCAACCCCCCCCC